AATGGGTGCTTGAGGCATAATAAACTGTGATGGATTATGAAGGGTCTTGAATGGGTTATATGTGTATGTATGTGTATGTGTGTTTGTGTGTGTGTGTGTATGTGTGTGTGCATGCTTTTAGTTTCAAATTCACAAGCATATGAAAATAATTGGTAAGTCCTATAGAAAGAATGTGTTATAAAAATACTTTGAAAACAAAACACGAACAAGCAAAATGTGTGAAACAAGTCATTGCTTCCATAATATAGACATTTTTATCTCTTAAAGTTGATTCTTGTCTCGTGCCCCAACATAACCTTGCTCTTCCCATTTATTTATGGAATTTTATATATCAAAATAAAATGTGAAACAAAAATGTTTAAAGAATCACAAACTGAATTCCCTGAAAACAAACACATGACAGGGATAACTTTTCTTTTCTTCAGTTGGTTCCTATCCTCCTTTCCATACCCTCTTTACTCTTGAAAATTACACATGTGCATGTGTATACATACACAGACATACACACATGCACACACACACAGGAGGAGCTCAACTATGAAAGTTTTCTTCTGATTACAAGAAGATGAACAATGTCTCTCCCTTCGCCTCTCAGGAAAACACTGGACTGCCCATTGAGTCATTTGGCTGATTCACCACCACATAAATGATTTCCAGTGTCCTATTTGGCATCACTCAGATCCCAGCCACTGCCTCAAACAAATGTGCCTTGTCTTACTTAAGTAAAGCAACACCTCTATTTCAGAGGGCATTTGGGAGAGAGAAATGGAATAGCTTTCTTCCTCAAAATCTGTCAGAGAACCTGGCCAGGTCTTCCTTAATGTAGGTCCATCATTACATAAAATTTTCCCTATGATGGAATCTTTTCCATACTGCAAGTGAGTTAGATAATACAGAAAAAGAGATGACTGCTGTTGTTAATTACTTTTGGCTGAGTTTTGTAGCATATATTGTAACTTCGTGGTAATAGCATACCCTTTCCAAGAACCTCAATAGGTAAACAACAATGAATAAAACAATACTGAATCAGGAAGAAAACTCCAAAGATTCATGAAGTCTTGGGCTCTTGAGAAAGTTGGTTTCATCTTTATAGACCCAATTTTCTCACCTATAAATAAGAGCCAAGGCAATATATTTCAGAGAGGCAATTAAGAGAGCATGGTGGTTAAAAACACAAATATGAACCAAACCCAGCTTGTCACTTGCTAGCTGTGTGGTTATAGCACTGAACTTCATCTATAAATGAGTAAAAATAGTATCTGGCTGAAGGACCATGGGGAAGGGTAAATAAGAAATACATATAGTGTTCTTCATAGCACGTGCATGCATATGTACGTGTCCTGCCTGTGTTTTTCACAAATGGAGAAAACAGGGAGGCAAAGAAGGGTTGGAACTCTGTGGAACAGTGATACAGTGCCTTGGCAGTCACCTAGGGATCATCAAGGAGTTGGGAAATTTAATATTGTCTCTTGGAAGATGGCAGTGGGTCACAGGTGCCACAGATCTGTAAGATATACTTTACCCACTCACTTCTAGTAAAGAAGTTCTCCTAATGTACAGGAGAAAAAACACACCCAAATCCAAAAATGATGATGAAAAGTGACTATGTATGGGGAAATAGTGGAGTATTAAATAACAGTGTTCACATCACAGTAGCCCGTGCTTTCTGGATGCAGAAATGAAATAGTTTCTGGTCAGACATGAACACTCATTAGCACCAGCTTGGCTTCACCTATTGTTAATTTGGGGAATCAGTGGTAGATGATGCACCCTGTAATCCTTTCCTAACCTCTTCTTGTTGGAATTGGAGAATTAAATCAACTTAACCAACCTTTCATCAAGAAGCTGTGCAATAACCACAAACAGAATACAACGAAGAGGAATTTATCCTAGATCCAATACTGCAGATCATACCTTCTAGAAGTTATAGGATATTATTCATAGTTCTGGCTGTGGGTTTCCCACAAGATTTGAGGGTGGGGATAGGAAGGAGTAACTCATTCAATCATGTGCTACATTTCTTAAGATATGATAATAGATCATGCTGGGCTCATGACTTTTTCCTTAAAGAGTGAGATAGAGCAGCCATTAAGTCAAGAAGAGATTGGGGAATACAGTGGAATATTTGTCTTTTATGGACAGAAAGAGGACCTTGCCAAAACCAAACCAAAATGAAACAAAATCCTCCAAACCCTCTAAACTGGGGAAAAGATATTACCCTTCCTCCATTCCTATCCAAGTCTCTTATGATAGGAATGCCTTTGAATACTTCTCCCCATCCCTGAAATATAAGGCAGTCATAAAGTTAGATGTTCACTGCCTTCATGTATGTGAAAACTGGTTCTTTCATCAGGGAAGGTATGAAGTAGGCCAATTAATATATATTTACAGCACTGAGGGGTTTTTTTATTTTAATTTTAATTTTTTTACAAATAGTTTCTTGCCAAGTTGGTTTCCATATAACACCCAGTGCTCATCCCCACAAATGCCCTCCTCCATGCCCATCTTCCCCCTACCCCCCAACACCCATCAGTTCTCAGTTTGTTCTCAGTATTCAAGAGTCTCTCATGGTTTGCCTCCCTCCCTCTCCTCCACTATTTCCCCCCTTCTTCTCCCCCTTGGTCTTCCGTTAAGTTCCTCCTAATCCTTATACGTGCAAACATATGTTATTTGTCCTTCTCTGCCTGACTTATTTCACTCAGCATAACACCCTCAAGGTCCATCCATGTTGCTACACATGGTCAGATTTCATTCTTTCTCATTGCCATGTAGTATTCCATCGTATAGATAAACCACACCTTCTTGATCCATTCGTCCATTGATGGACACTTAGGCTCTTTCCATGTTTTGGTTATTGTTGATAGTGCTGCTATGAATATTGGGGTACATGTGCTCCTATGCATTAGCACTGCTGTATCCCTTGGGTAAATTCCTAGCAGTTACAGCACTGAGTTCTATCATTATTATAATGGCTTTTCTGTCCAGAGTTTGATGTTTATTGAAACCACTTTCAGTATCTTAGAGCTCTTTGCCTTTAGTCTATCATTACAAAAAGACTTCCTTTGCTTGTCAGTGATTGGTAATTATCTTCACATGTATGGAGGTGGCCCAATACATGGTTGAAATATCACACAAAAAAATAATGCCTCAGTTTGTGGTTATCAGTTCAGCTTTTCAATGCTAAAATCCTTTGTGGCTTTTTTTCTATGTGCAGTTCAGGTTGTCACGAGGCTTCCCTATATTCATATATCATCTTTCAGCTCACTCAAGTCATGCTAACAAATGTTTATATGATTGCCTCACTTTCTCCTGATCCTAGAGCAGATTGGGACATCCATCCAATGTTTCAGCACATTCCTGAGTTACCATTGTGATGGAGTGTTCTTGGAAGACTCTCCAGTTTCTTGCTTCTCAGGACTTTGGCTGCTTTCCAAGGAATGTACCTTTGGAAACCATCGTTATCAGTACTAGGTTAGGTCCTTCTTGTCTCCCACCTTGCCTGTCTGATTCCCTCTGACTCTAATCCAGATGAGGTTTACTGGCCACATATGTATAAATAATGCCAAGATTACTTTCAAATAGCACTTTGCATGTTTCAAAGCATTTTCCATGAGAACCCTGATATCTAATAGTTTTACCAGCTTTGACTTAATACAGGGAAGGGGCTGGCAAATGAGTGTTTTCTAACTTGAAGTTATACTCTTGAGGCCAGCTGTGGAGCTGTCTTACCCTGGTTGTCTTTAATAATAGCAAAGATGCTGGGCAGACATAGTTTTGGATGTGACTGTAGCCAAGAGGATAAATTAAATCTTTTCAGAACACATATGGTCTGATTTTCATGTGTATCTTGAGAAATCACTTTTTTGTTGTTTAAAAAAAAAACCCAACATGGTATACTTGTACATCTGCATTTTTGAATGGTAGTGTAAGAAGATACTTCATTTAGTGTATTGGGTTCTGAATAACCACCCTCATCCTACATTTTTGAAAACCCTTACATATCTCTCCTGTTTGTTCTTCTATGCTTTAGAGAATCAGTATAGTTTATTAATAAATCAGCATCATACCTGCTAAAAATTCTCCACTCACTCTCGTGGTACTGGGGGAAAGTTCTTATATTATTACTACTCATAATATATCACTAAAAAACCTAAGAGATTGAATGGGCAAAAATTCTTTGTGTTTTTAAAGAGATTCTACATCTTAAATATACAATGTTGTCCCATTGCTATTAATCTAAATCAACTGCAGGGGTTCTCCCAGTTTAAATTTGTTATTTATTCAGAAGGCACACTATAAGCACTCTGCCTCAACAAGGCTTCTGTGTTGTTCTTCTTGTTGGATAGTGCTGGATGCAACAGAACTTTGAATTAAGTGTCAGCTCTACCAAAAATTCTTAAGGCATATCTTACTGTGATTACTCATGTTCCCAGGACCATTCTCTTTGGGAGGTTCTCAAATCACAGGATTTGAAGCTGGAGGGAAACTTGAAGATATGACATTCTAGAAGGGTCAGACAAGTTCATGAAGGCCATACAGATGACAGTGGCCAAGTCAGGACTGGACAGACCAAATTTCCTAATTCTATTCTGGTGTTTCGACTGTCCCATGTGACTTCTTCTTATAGGTAAGAACGTGGCAGCAGTCCTATGTCATTTGTAACTGAAAAGATAAACACAAAACAAATATTCTTTTGTAAATGCATATCACAAAACACAATCTTCAGTTTTAACTAAACTATGCAGTATTCATTATTAAACATGTTCTGACCTTAAAAATTTGACTCATAACCTTTGCTAAAATGATGTATCCCCTTACTGAAAGTAGCCCCATCTCTCAGCTACTTTCATCTCTGTTTAGACCACAACTATTCCATAGCATTCAAACTCTACTTATGCAAGATCAGAAGTCTATTGGGATTCACTGGAGAGAAAAATCACTATTCCAGTATTGCTTTTACCCCTAAAACTCAATTTTTTAATTACAAGAAATTCTACAAAATATAAAATCTACTTCACAATATTCCACTTCTGCAATACTAAAGGCTTTGGGTTGTCCATAAATTCTAAGAACCATATCAAACTACTCTTCTTGAAGATTTTAGGAATTGGGTTCATTAGTTTGCCTGCTCTGTGCACTTTTTCTCCTCAGGGGTTTCTCTCCCAAGGGCTGAACCAAGCTAGGCTAATCCTATTTCCCTCCCTGGCAGTTTGGAATTGGTACACAGAGCCTCTAGTTACTCACACTAGGCTTTGGAGCTAGAAGGTTAAACTGCCTGGGCTGGGACAACAACTTTCTACCAAGTGTACAAAAAGAAAGAAAATATCTAGATGTCAGAGAGAGAAAAGAGATGGAAATAGTAACTTGGAGTCTTGACCTGATGTTTCTGGTTCAATAACCACATAAGGTAGCATCTGTACTTGTTCATAAATCCCCATTGGGATTTAATTTAGTGTAAGTAGCGTTCCATTATTGGAAAAAATAAAACCAGTTCATTTTAAGACAGGGCAGATGCCCTCCTGTGCCCAAGTAAGAGGCATGGCAGCAGAGAAACACAAAAACCATGTGACCAGGCTTAATTTAAATTCATCAACATATCTAATGTGAGACTCCAGTGCTACCAAGTATGTGACTATCTTTTCATTCTCCAAGACAGCCATTTCATAGTTTGTCCTCCTTTCTGAAACTTCTACTACTTTCTTCCCTTGTCATTTCCACCTTAAAGACCCAGATTTTTATTTCACTGGGAAAATAGAAGTAATGAAAAACAACGGCTTCATCTTCTCATAGACAGCAAATCTGCCAGTCTACCAACATTTGTGCTCATTTACTCTACTTTCCCTCCTGGTAACGGAGACCAACTGCCTATATGCCAGGACTTTGTTCTTTTAATTATTTCCCACTCCTTCCTTCTCTTGTATTATTAATTATTGCCTCTATACTTATTCAGCAACCAAAAGAGTTCTCATCTAAATAAACGCACACACAAACAAACAAATAAATAAATAAGCAAGTTTTCTTGTTCTAGAGCAACTCCTTAACCACTACTCCATTTAAAAATATTATAATACATATTATGATAATAATTATTATATATTATTATAGATTATTAAAATAACAATTTATTATATATCAAATGTTATTGCCAAGACTTAAAAGATATTCAAGTAAAGTATAATTTGAATATAAGAAATGGTTAAAATTAATTTTAGACAGATGGAGAAAAATCAGGGGGAATTACGGGAAAAAGTTAAAATATCCTGATACTCTTTTATTTTTTAAACATTTTAGTAAATATGTATGTATTTCGTGTGTATGAGTACATTTTAATTTGGACATGATTGACATACAACATTATATTAGTTTTAAGTGTACAACATAATGATTCAATATTTGCACATATTGCCACTCCATTTCTCTGCAACTTTTTATAGTGAAACTCCTTATGCCACCACACCAACACTCCACTCCCCTGAAGATTCACAATAATCTTCATGTCCTCAAATCTTATGGTCAACTCTTAAACTTCATTTCCTTTTGTCTTTCATCTGCATTTGACAGAACTGATGACTCCTTACTTATTACGGCATTCTGTGTCTGTGGTGCACAATAAACTACATCCTCTTCTTTTTTTTGTCTCCTTACTGACTGTTCTTTCTTATATTTCTCTGCTGGCTTCTCCTCCTCTTCCATAGCTTGTATCAATATTATTATGCTGGATTGTTCTATTGTCAACTTGGTCAAGCTGGGAACTACATTTTCCTGGGCCCCTTTTCCTCTATGGTGCCAGGTTAGAGTTGTTTAAAAGCGGAACTTGCATAACATTTGAGAAGTGAAACTGAGGCCGAGTCATTATTCTCTGAATAACGTCAGGGTCAGATATGGAAATGAAAAAACATGGAAGTACCTGGCAAGTTCCAGCTTGTAATTTTCTTTTATTCCCAGTCCAGTTCTTTTCAATTTCTGGTTCTGTTGACTAACAGTGGTCCCAGGCACACTACTAGCTGCTTGGTTATAGATACACAGAATTAGTAGCTGCCTAGATGCAGCAGCTTCTATGTTCCTCACAAAGAGTCCCCATTGGAGTTCCACTTCAGTGACTGGACAAGTGTAGTTGGTTTATCAGATTTCCTTGAACGCTCCATCTTGTCCACCTGTGCCAGTGTTATGAGAAGACTGGTTAGTGACTTCCTCAAGTCCTCCATTTCCTCTGCCAGATCTTTACTCCTTCAGCTCCTTCAACAATTGTGTAAAGTCTCATTCCTATAATAAGCCTTTTTATCCTGTATCACTACTAATTGAGCACTGAGTCAAATATTGGTACCACTAGAAGTAGGTCTAGAGTAATACATTAATATAGCATTAGAACTCTGATATAAGTAGATTTAAAGGTACTGATTAGCTTGTTCAGTGGCTAGAAGGACACTGGTAGTCTATATCAAGCAATAGTGATTTTCCAAGTTATGAAATGTATAGTTGAAATAGACAACTAAGCAACTGGTAGAATACCCATATTGGTTCCCTGATCTATGGAATGAGGCTTTTTGTGATAGGAAAGGAAAACGAAAACCTCTCTAGAACTTCTTCCTACTAAATCAGTAACTCATAATCAGTACTGGATTCCTAGAGGTATTGAATAGGTTTTTTTTCTACCATCAAGAACTAGGAAGATGCAGGGATGGTGATTGATGCTACATTCCCATCCAATTTGCCTTTTTGGAGTGCAGATGACAGATAGGTCTTGGAGAATGACAGTGGGTTACCCTAAACTTAATCACATGGTGGGAAAATCCATTTATAAGTTGTTGCAGATATGGTTTCTTTATTAGATCTAACCAACACACACCCCTTGGAATCTAGTATGAAGCTAGTATCCCTGTATATGCCTTAGTAAAGACTGCCATAAGCAGTTTGTTTCCAGCTGGTTACTAGCAATACACTTCTCTATCATAGAACTGTATCAACTGTTTATCCCTTTATCATGACCATTTTTTTCATAACCAGGAACATCCTTGCCCCTCCATTCTAAAGGACATTTTGCTGGGTCATTATGTTGATGACATCATGTTCTTGGACCTGTTAAGCAGAGAGTACACACTTCCATATATATATATATGGAATATATATATATATATATATATATATATATATATATATATATCAGAATGTAGGAAGTAATTCCCACAAGAACGCAGGAGCATACTAAGCTTTTCAGTCATCCAGTGGTCTGTGGCATATTAAATTGTCTACTATGAAAGGGATCATGGGTAATCAGCAGAATACCATGGACTCCAGATATAACATAAGACTTATTAGGAGAAACTCTTAAAATCAGAGAAGTAGTAGAGTGCATATAGTCCTCTGAATTCTCATTGCTCTGTGCAGTCCAGCACAGGCTTGTTTTGGCCAGAAAGCTAGATGTTCAAAAAAGAACTCCTGCTTACTTACCCCATTATATGTTAGCCTAAGATGGGGAAACAGTGCCTGATTACCTCTACTAAAAAGAAATAAAATAAGGTTCAGGAAATGCTAGTAAAGATGTATACTAGAGACCAAAATCTAAAAGCAGAGGGCTCAGAGAACAACCTTCCTTGCTAAATGGAACGCTGAAATTAGCCAAAGGCCTTATCTCTGCAGGCTGGCTCAGTGGAGTTAAGCCAGCTCTTTGCTAAGCTTCCAAAAGGGAGAAGAGATGAACCCCAAGGCTATCCAGATATTGATATCCCATCAATATCCCTTCCAAGGAAAGGGAAAAGTTGATGCATCTGGCCCATCTTCCAGTTCTAAAACAGTGCATCTGGTTGTTCATTTTGTTTAGGAGAAATGGCCAAATATGTGGATCTGCACTGATTCTTGGGTAGTGGCTGATGGTTTGACTGCTAAGTCAGAGACCAGGAAGAAACACAAAGGAAAAACTGTCTACTAGTCCAAAGTAATACGTGGATAGGTCTCTCCAAAAGGGTCATGAAGTATGAAGATATTTGTGTCCCATGTGATTGTTTACAAAGAATGCCCTCAGCAAAGGTGAATCTTAATAGCCAGGTGAACACAATGACTCATGCTGTGATGTTAGTCAGCCTCTTTCTCCAGACACTCCTCCTCTTGCTTAGTAGGCTTATGATGAAGGTGGCAATGGTGGCAGAAATGGAATATATTCATGGGCTCAGCAATATGGACTTATACTCACAAAAACCAATTTGGCTTCAACCACTACCAAGTCCCCAAGTCACCAGCAGAAGAAACAAACACTGAGTCCACAGTATGTCACTACTCCCATAAGACATCACCCAGCCACTTGGTGGAAAGTTGATTACATTGGATCATTTATATCATGGAAGTAATAGCACTTTCCTCTTTAGTGGAGCAGACATATATCCTGGATATGATTTTGTCTTACCTGCTTGTGATGATTTTGCTAAAATTACCATCCAGTGATTTCCAAAATGCCATATTCAGTGTTAAAGTTTTCCATACAGTGTTACTTTTAACCATGGAAACATTATTAAATATCAGAATCACTAGTCTTATGATCCTTATCACCCTGAAGCAGTTGATCTGATAGAATCAGATCAGAATCCACTGAATGTCCTTTTGAAGACACCATGTGTTTAGCATTATTTTGCAAGAGTAATTCTTCGGGATGAATGTATGCTCTGAATCAGTGATCAATGGGCATAGTTCTTCCTGTTACCCCTAATTATCCACTGGAAAGGAAGGATATTTCTACAAAAGTACACAAAAAGGCTCACTAATTTGGAAGTTGAGACGATTACCTCGTCATTTATTATCTCCTCCCAGTGGATCAACAGGCAAGAGTGTAATTGCACTAAAGAGGGGTTGTTGATCCTGAATATCAAGGAAAAATTGGGCTGCTCCAACATAATGAGGATAGGGAGTAGTATGTCTGGAAAGCAAGAAGTTCTCTGGATGCTTCAGTGTTTCTCCATGTCTTATGTTTAAATTAGTGAAATACTGCAACAATCCAATAAAGTCAGGACTACTAATGGCACAAACTGTTAAGGAACAAATGTTTGGGTCACCTAGCTATCAGGCAAGGAACTATGACCAGCCAACGGATTCTCATCATAGAGTACAGATGGGAAATGGAAGCAGAAAATTATAAATCCTAGTTATGATGGCCTGACAGGTTACAGAAATAAAAATTCTCACAATTATTTCTTCTTTACTTTGATGTAAATGTGTGTGTGTGTGTGTGTGTGTGTGTGTGTCTGTGTTTGTGTATACCATTTGTCTTCTTTCTTTTTTCAGTTTCCCATTCTCATACTCTACAAGATGAAATGTATTAATATTGTTTAAGGTATAGATATCAAAAAAGAAGTGTGCCTTGGAAGAACAAGCATAATTTACAGATGGACAAAGGGACTGGGAACTTAGTGCATCCCCATCTAAGTAGGCCATGCTATGTATTGTTGGTTATATTAAGTTGCATCATGTTAACTAGAAATATCATTTTGCTATGACCTTGATTTGAAAATTAAATGTGGTTTAAAAGGTATGTATGGATGACAAGTTGACAAGGTTTGGACTTAATATGGATTGGTTAATCTAGGTACTGTATTTTCAAGAATCTCCTTTCCTGAATTGTTCCAGATTATAGTTGACCAAAATAGGAACTTCTGTGAGATTCAGAAGGGACAAACATGCACAGAGATGCCCAGCTTGTCTTCATTCCCTCCTGTTATACGTCCAGCTCTTCTTTCCAACTGCGGTGCTTATTATCCAGGGATTTCGACGAGATACTTGGGTGAGGACCCCTAAAAATAGTAGCTATACAGAGTCCATATCTCATAAACTTTTGCTACTGGTTGTAACTGGCTTGTCAGATTTCCCCAGAAGCCAAGCTTATCTACCTGCACCTGCACTTCAGGAGGACCAGTTAGTGATTTTTCCTCTAAATCTGCAGTGCCCCCCCCCAAGGTGTTTTCTTTTTCAGATACTTCCATAATTGTGTAAAGTCTAATTCTTCTAATCAATTCCTTATCCAACATCAAGCACAATGCTTCTGCCTCCCTGTCTAAACCCTGATTGGTATAGAGCCTACAAGAACACCTATAGTAGGTGTTTGATAAATGTTAAGTGTCTCTGTGTATGTCTGTGTGTGTGTGTGTCTGATCTGTGTAAATTGCTGGTGACACCATACTAGAGGTAAATGCTGTTCCATTTTTCTCTGATATGCAATTATCATGGATGGAATTGAGAATGTATAATCCTACATATTGAAAAAGGGAATTTGGGGTAATTACTGGACCTATGGTGGTGTAGGAGATAGGGCAGTTAAGTATTGCTTGCTCAAACTCTTCCACCTGAATCATCTAAGTTACTCTTTTAGGATTCTGTTCAAACCCAGAATATAGAAGTGACTTAAAATCATGACATAAAATCAGAAAGGCATTAGGTATTTGGATGATGAATTAGACAAAGTAACAGCAACAATATCAAGAAGGAGGAGGAGGAGGAGGAGGAGGAGGAGGAGAAAAAGAAGGAGGAGAAAAAGTAGAAGAAAGAGGAGGAGAGGAGGAAGAAGAAGATGATGACAGTAGAAACAAACAAAAAATTCTTAGCCTTAGAATGTGTGTGTATTTTCTACAACAAAGCAAAATGAATTTTTAAATACTTTTACAGAAATCAGGGAGGATACTCAAAAGTTTCTGGTAAACAAGACATAAGAAATTAAAAATAGATTAATTTAAGATGTAAGGACTATCATGGATATTATATCTGATAGTGGGCTTCTTTTTATCATTTTATTTCAGAAAATAAAAATTTTTATAAGGCCCCTCATAAGTACATATAAAGTCTTAATCCTCCTGCTCAAATCTTTCCCCATTACAGTTTAAGTCCCTTACAACAATCGTAATAAATTTTGAGTTATTTTCTTAGGTCTTACTCAACCGTTTTTACACTACCTTTTTGTTGTTGTTGTTGTTCCTTAACAAAAATTTCCTTCATCTTTGACTTGTTCTGCTAAAGTGACAGACTCTATAGAGTAGTGATTTGTGTGCACTTTCTCTAACCTTCACAACAAGTAAAGAATGCAAGAACTGTGTTTCCTGTTTTAGAGGTGAGGAAAGTGAAGATCAGAGAGAATATTTAAGTGATGTATTCAGGGTCACACAATGAGGTCATAAGTTTAACTCAGATCCACATTCTTTCCACTTCACTATCACTTCCATTTAACTTTTGTATCATTGCTTTCCACATCCCAAGATCTATTGCACATTCAACTTTATAAGTATTGCTAAATCGCTCTCCAGAAATTGCACCAATATACAAATATTCCTACCAGAGTAGGAAAGTCTCCATTTCTCCACATTTTCATCTGTACCAACTAGATTTCCAAAATAATTTTAGAACCATCATGTGATTATAAAGATTATTGCTAGGTTTAAAGGTAAGATTAATACGATGTGTTAGATATTTAAGATGTTAAATGTCAAGCATTTTTGTTTGAGTGTGTAGTGTTTTAAACAAACCCTATGGATTTCTACATAATTGACTGTAATTGTGTCAGGACTTAAATTCAGCTGGAGCTTTAGGTTTCAAGTTCTGGAATTGGTGTATCAGACGGAACTTTAAGCTAGTGGTTAACTGAGACTCTCAGCAAACAGTGCAACTTCAAGCTTCTACCTGAGAAGGCCAGAAACTTTCCAATTATACCTTCTTAGCCTAAGAAATGGTCTTTGCCAGGGAGGCAAGTAGGAAGCACCGTACATTTCACCTGCACTCATCTCACAAACAGAGAAGGCCTGAAGTCGTAGGACACTGAGCCACAGGAGTTTGGGAAGAGAAAGAGACAGAGTACACTGGGAAGGAAACCTCATAAGTGCGTGAGTGCGAACTGGGGAAGATAAAAGCGTGACAGGGCCCAGAGATACTTAGGGAGGCGAGGAAACCCGGCTTGCGTGCAGTTGCGGTGAGTGATGAACCAGCGAGTGGTGGTGAGCTGCCGCAAGTCCAGGGGAAAGGAAAGAAAGCTGAGATTGCTCATAGAACCATCCCTGGAGAAGAGGAAAAACGTTGGCTTGGAAAGACAGTCTTTTTTAGCTCTGGCTGGGGTGCTGACTTTAAACTAGGTGCCCTGGTCCCAGAAGGCACCAGGAAAAACTGAACTGCTGGGCGCCTGGCATCATCCATGGCAGCGCGGCCCGGTGAACTAGCAGCAATGCCTGCGGAGGTGGCCCCGGTGCCGGGTGAAGCGGCAGTGGTGCACACAACATCGGTGCACTAAAGCAGCAGTGGCTGTGACCTGGTGAAGTGGCGCTGGCGCCTGGTGAAGCGGTGGCTGCTTGAGCAAAAAGTTGCCTGCTGAAGCGGCGGCGGACAGTAAAGCGGTTGTGGCAGCGAGAGGCGTCGCGGACTCTGCAGACCTCAAGTTGCTACGTTCCCCAAATGCATTCAGGTTGTATTGCTGCTTGACCCCGGCGGATCTGAGGCTGCGACAATTCCCCCACCCTCCACTCAACCGCTGGCAACAGAGGAGCGGCGACCAGCAGAACTGTTAATGGCGGTATAACAAAGTCTCTCAGGAGTAATCAGACTAGATAGTTTCTCTGGATAACACCACCTTCTTTCTCTCACCTCTCCAACCATATTCCGCCCTTTAGCTCTTTGAAAAAAGCTTCTTATCCCTTCTGTCTGTTCACTCTATCTCCAATTTTGCCTCATCTCCACCCTATCATCTCTCTCTTTATGCTTTTCAAACAGCACTGCATACACCTGGTTATTTAATTGTAGCTGGGAAATCTGGTTATATGCTTTAAACCGATCTTTGTCTATCAGTTTTCTTCTTTCTTCCTTTTCTTTTCTTCTTTTTGACTTTTTAATGTATTTTTATTTTCTATTATTCGCCTTCCCTCCTCTGTCTTTTCTCATTACTTTTTAGTTTTCCCTCTCAGTAAGCGTGATTGTTGGATTTGTCTGTGCATTTGTGTCCCTTGTTTGTGCATTTGTGTCCCTCTGTTTCTGTGTGTTTGTCTGTATGTTTTCTTCTCCAGGGCTACCTCAAAAACAAGCCAAAGTACACAGGGTGGAGAGTCCCAAATACCACTACGAGTAGGAAAATGAAATATCCAAGGTCTCAACAAGAGAGACCAAGAGATACCATTCAAAGAACAATTTCTGAAAGGATAGGCCCTGGACAGTCAAAGAGTCTTCTTGGGTACAGTAGTGCTCACAGGTGCAGAGAGCATAACAAGTCTTTAAAACTAACAAGAGACAGAAAGCTAACCAAAATGATGAAATGAAAGAGCTGTCCTCCAAAGTAATTCCAAGAAGAATTGACAGCTAATGAACTGCTCAAAACAGATATAAGCAGCATAACTGAATAAGATTTTAGAACAATAATCGTAAAATTAATCACTGGGCTTGCAAAAACCATAGAGGACATCAAAGAAACTATGGCTACAAACAACATGGAGAACAAAAATAGGCATGATGAATTAAAAAATGCAATAAATGAAATATGTAATAAACTGGAGGTGTCCAATGTCGGATTGAAGAGGCAGAAAAGAGAATAAGTGATTTAGAAGACACCATTATAGAAAAACAAGAAGCTGACAAAAAAAGAGACAAACTGATCCAGGAACAGGAAAGAAGAATTCGAGAGCTCAGCGATACGGTCAAACGCAACAATATCCGTATCATAGGAATCCCAGAAGAGGAAGAGAGAGGGAAAGGTGCTGAAGGAGTCCTGGAACAAATTATAGCAGAGAACTTCCCCGACCTGGGGAAGGAAGTAAATGTGGAAGTACAAGAGGCTCAGAGGACTCCCCTCAGACGTAACCTGAATCGATCTTCTGCACGACATATCATAGTGAAAATGGCCAAATACAAGGACAAAGAGAGAATTTTGAAAGCAGCTAGGGAGAAAAGGGCCCTAACATACAAAGGGAAACCTATCAGAGTGGTGACAGACCTATCTACTGAAACTTGGCAGGCTAGAAAGGAATGGCAGGAAATCTTCAATGTGATGAACAGTAAAAATATGCAGCCAAGAATCCTCTATCCAGCAAGCCTGTCATTCAAAATAGAAGGAGAGATAAAAACCTTTCCAAATAAACAGAAATTGAAAGAATTTGTCACCACGAAGCCAGCCCTACAAGAAATCCTGAGGGGGATGCTCTGAAGGAAAGGTTGCAAGGAACAAAGATACCAGAGACACCACCACAAACATGAACCCTACAAAAGATACAAAGACTCTAAACCCACATATTTCAATAATAACACTGAATGTAAATGGGCTGAATGCTCCAATCAAAAGACATAGGGTAGCAGAATGGATTAAGAAACAAAATCCATCAATATGCTGTCTACAAGAAACTCATTTTAGACGGGAAGATACCTTCAGATTAAAAGTAAGGGGATGGAGAAATATATATCATGCTACAGGAAATCAAAAGAAAGCCGGAGTAGCGATACTTATATCAGACAAACTGGACTTTAAATTAAAGACAATCACAAGAGATGAAGAAGGGCACTACATAATAATTACAGGGTCCATCCATCAGGAAGAACTAACAATCATAAATGTCTACGCACCGAATATGGGAGCACCTAAATATCTAAAACAATTAATCACAAACAGAAACAAGCTTATAGATAAGAATGTGCTAATAGCAGGGGACTTTAATACTCCGCTTACAGCAATGGATAGGTCAACCAGACAGAAAATCACTAAAGAAATAATGGACTTGAAAGACACATTGGACCAGATGGATCTGACGGATATATTTAGAACTTTACATCCTGAGGCCAGGGAATTTACTTTCTTCTCAAGTGCGCATGGCACATTCTCCAAGATAGATCACATACTGGGACATAAAGCAGCCCTCAATAAATATAAAAGAATAGAGATCATACCATGCACACTGTCAGATCACAATGCTTTGAAACTTGAAATCAATTACAGGAAGAAGTCTGGAAAACCGCCAAAAACATGGAGGTTAAAGAACACCCTTCTAAAGAATGAATGGGCCAATCAGGCAATTAGAGAGGAAATTAAAAAATATATGGAAACAAATGAAAATGAAAACACAACAATTCAAAATCTATGGGATGCGGCCAAGGCAGTCCTAAGAGGAAAGTACATTGCTCTCCAGGCCTATTTCAAGAGATTAGAAAAAGCACAAGTCCAAAATCTAACAGCTCACCTAAAGGAGCTAGAGGCAGAGCAACAAGAACGCCCTAAACCCAGTAGAAGAAGAGAAATAGTAAAAATTAGAGCAGAAATAAACAACATAGAGACCAAAGAAACAATTGAACAGATCAATGAAACCAAGAGTTGGTTTTTTGAAAAAGTAAACAAAATTGACAAACCTCTAGCCAGGCTTATCAAAAAGAAAAGAGAGAGCACCCAAATAGACAAAATTATGAATGAAAATGGACTTATTACAACCAACCCCTCAGAAATACAAGCAATTATCAGGGAATACTATGAAAAATTATATGCCAACAAATTGGACAACTTAGAAGAAATGGACAAATTCCTAAACACACACTCACTACCAAAATTCACACGGGAAGAAATAGAAAACCTGAACAGACCCATAACGAGTGAAGAAATCGAATCAGTGATCAAAAATCTCCCAACAAATAAGAGCCCTGGACCTGATGGTTTCCCTGGGGAATTCTACCAGACATTTAAAACAGAATTAATCCCAATTCTTCTCAAGCTATTCCAAAAAATAGAAGTCGAAGGAAAACTCCCGGACTCATTTTATGAAGCCAGCATCACTCTGATTCCCAAGCCAGACAGAGATCCAACAAAAAAAGAGAACTATAGGCCAATATCCTTGATGAATACGGATGCAAAAATTCTCAACAAGATCCTTGCAAATCGAATCCAGCAGCATATCAAAAGAATCATCCACCAAGATCAAGTGGGATTCATTCCTGGGTTACAGGGCTGGTTCAACATTCGCAAATCAATCAATGTGATCCATCATATCAATAAAAGAAAAGATAAAAACCATATGATCCTGTCAATAGATGCAGAAAAAGCATTTGACAAAATACAGCATCCCTTCTTAATAAAGACTCTCGAGAAAGTTGGGATAGAAGGAACCTACTTAAACATCATCAAAGCCATCTATGAGAAGCCTTCAGCTAACATCATCCTCAACGGGGAAAAACTGAGAGCTTTCCCCCTGAGATCAGGAACACGACAGGGATGTCCACTCTCACCACTGTTGTTTAACATAGTGCTGGAAGTCCTAGCATCAGCCATCAGACAACAAAAGGAAATCAAAGGCATCAGAATTGGCAAAGAGGAAGTCAAACTTTCACTCTTCGCAGATGACATGATACTCTACATAGAAAACCCGACAGACTCCACCAGAAGCCTACTAGAACTGATCCAAGAATTCAGCCAAGTTGCAGGGTACAAAATCAACGTACAGAAATCGGTTGCATTTTTATACACCAATAATGAAGCAACAGAAAGAGAAATCAAGAAACTGATCCCATTCACAATTGCACAAAAAACCATAAAATACCTCGGAATAAACCTAACCAAGGATACAAGAGATCTGTATGATGAAAACTATAGAAAACTTATGAAGGAAATTGAAGAAGACACAAAGAAATGGAAAAACATTCCATGCTCATGGATAGGAAGAATAAATATAGTTAAGATGTCATTACTACCTAAAGCACTCTACACATTCAATGCAATTCCAATCAAAATTGCACCAGCATACTTCTCAAAACTAGAACAAACTATCCAAAAATTTGTATGGAACCACAAAAGACCCCGAATAGCCAAAGTAATACTGAAAAATAAAACCAAAACGGGAGGTATCACCA